CAGCCCCTACCTCGCCAACGGAGCCCTCTCCCCCGGCGGCGCCCGCACCGTAAGTGCCCCCCCGGGGACCCCCGAGCCCCCCCTGCTCCCCCATGTCAGGGGTGCTCGGCCCCCGCCGCGGCCCCCGGAGCCTCACGCCCCATCCCGCAGGAAGGCAACAGCCTGGTGCTAAAAAACCAAAAAAATGGGGTTTATTCCCTGTATTTTTGGTTCCCCTTGCTCCTTCCAGGGGGGTGCACCCCGGGGAGGGGGGGGGCTGGCCCCGGGCACCCGGCCCCGAAACCTGACCCTGAGCCCCTGCGCCGCTTTTCTTATTTAAAAGGGCTCCCTTCGACTTTTTAAAGCTCTTAATGGGCTGACATTGTCCGTCCCTCCTTTGGCGTTTAGAAAACTGATTAAGCAAATTGAGCGAGCATGGGGGGGGGGGGCACAAAGGAGAGCGGGACTGAGCCCCCCAACCTCGACAGCATCGAAGCACCCAAACCATCCCGCACAGCAGCCTGGGCCGGAGCCACGAGCCCGGTTCAGAAATGCAAACCCGGTTCAGAGACATGACCCTTCCCTCCCCGGCTCCCCCTGCCTCAGTTTCCCCTCCCGGTACCCCCGTGGCGGGGATGCGGCGCGGCCGCGGTACCGCCGCTCCCGGCTGCAGCATCGCGCCACGCTCCTGGCTTTCTGGCTGGATTTCTCGCTCCGCAGCCGCGGTGCTGGTGACACCTGATGGGTTTAAGCACGTTATTATTGCCCGGGCTCTATAGGAACCTGCGCTCCCGTATGGAATATATACAGGACAGCAAAAGTTGCTGCGATCCAAATTGCTTCAAACCCCCGGCGCGAGCTCGCCGGCCGGGATCCCGCTTTCTGATGGTGCTGCGCGGAGTTTTCTGTATTTTTGGGGGGTTTCTTGCTTTCGCTTTATTGGAAGCAACTGGTTTGAATGGCCGTCGAGCGCAAAGCCTGGGGCCCCGGCCGGCCGCCGGGCTATATACATGGCCCCGGTCTGGCCGGCGGCCGGGTGCCGGGCAAAGGCTGTATTCCCAATTTGTCACTTTTGGTATTACTACGTTTTGGAGATGATGCACAACTGGCCACCATCCCAAACCGCGGCGAGGAATCAGGAATAACGAAAAGGGAGAGGGGTTGGGATTCATAGAAAACGGCCCCTAACGATGATTTAATGAATCCCAGAAAGGGGGGGTAATGAAAAGGGGCTGGGAGAGGAGCGGATGTTGCATCCCGGTTTTGGACCCGGGCTGATGTTGAACCTGGAAAAGGGCTGGAGGGATGAGTGGGGCTGGGAAAGCGCCGGATCGGGGCCGAATCCCGCCGGATTGGGGCGTTTCTGTGCGGAGCTGAGCCCGGGGCGCTTGCGTGGTGGGGGCAAACTTGGGGTGCTGGGAGGATTTGCGGGCGCACGTCACGTCTCGATGCGAGCAGGGGGGCTCTTGGAGCCGAATGTGGCTGGGGCGCCGGGGGAGGGGGGGGGCCCCCCG